TCTATAATGGTCTTTATTGCATCTAATATTTTACATTAAATATGTGACTGTAACTTTTTTATTTTTCAGAAACTGATACTATATATCCAAAAATGTAAAAAATTACTTACAAAAATGCTCCCATTTCATTCCTTGTGAATTCCATACTTAGCCTGCTGAATTCATTGGTCCATAGATTATCAACAGTACTAAAAATTCTTTCCATACTAACAGTAGACACTGGAATCAAAATATAACTTTGAGCCAGTGTTAACATATTTGGAGCTACAGGCTATTTGTTGAAAAATACTTCCACATATCAAGGAATGTTACTCTCTCACAGCAACAGGACAAGATATCAGTGTCCTCATAAAGTGAATTTGGAGGAATTTTTCTTTTCCTTCTGTGGAGATAGTTTCCAAATTTGAACTACTTTACCAGAAAGAGATGATATTGGGGGTTGTTTTGTGAATAGGCAAATGACAAATGCTGCGTAGAAGACACTCAGAGTATAAGGGAAATTTCTAAAAGCAGCCAGCTTCTTTTGCTATTTTATCAAGACTTGTGATCTTCTGGCTTTTGACCTTATGGTTTATGAGTCCCATTTATCCCTTGGATTGTACACTTGGCACCATGAAAATGATTTAAAATCATTATGCAGGGACTCCATTTTTATCTTAAGTCACTTTTTGTATATGTGGCTAGGAGTCTTTTTTCTCAATCTTTGTTACATATTTTACTTTCTGCCTTTTTTGGGTAGTTTTTTTCCTGTTTTGTTGATATTTTATAAAATCAGTTCTTGGATCTATTATTTCCATAGACTTGATGTTTAGCTTTACTTTGTTTTTTAACATATCAGTATCTAATTTGATCTGTTAAACTGTTTCTCATATTTCCCCCTTATTTTCACAGCCCTTTAAATTGAACGCTTAGTTGGTTTATATAGCTTGTTACTTCTTTGATTATAAATGAATTCAAAATCATGTAATTTTTCTCAATACAGTTTTGGCCTGATCACAGAGTTTGACATACAGAGCTCTTGTTGTTTGTGATTTGAAAAGTTTTAAATCTTGACTTCCATTACCTCTTTTGTCTGAGCATCATTGGACTATTTAGGAATTTCCAAGGAATTTGCATTTGTAGGTTATCATTATTATCTTTCTCTGTGCTCTTCTGTGCAGAAAATGTTGCGGAAGTGCTCGGTCTGTGTTGGGAGCTGCACCAGACAGAGGGCAGTAGAGCAGTGCACTAACCCTGCCAGTGTCCTGGGGTACTTGTTGCGCGCTGAGTGAGATGCAAATGTAACCACATAGTCGTTTAAATGATAACAAATATCATAGGTGGAGACTTTGGAGTACCCCCAAATTCCTAAACATTACAGAAGGGGAGTTTTTCTGTTACCTTTAGTGAGCTTTTCTTCATCTTACTTATTACCTCTTTCCTGAACTGGAGTGGTTTGAGGACCTGAGTCCCGGCAAGCAAGTACTGTAACTTATTTTCTTGTCTGCAGTTCTGCTTTCATCCCGAGGCTTCCCATAAACTCTAAAAGCTAAAGAGCCTTTAGTTCATATGAGATTTGTAATTTGTGGTTCCACTTGTAATAAATGTTTAAAACATGTGTAAGTAAATGCTGTTATTTTCTGAATAAACAAACCCTACATTTAAAATAACTAAGTTTTAAAAGGATTTTTATCAGTATAATACATGCACATTCATTTTAAAAATCACTCAGCACTAAAAGGCTTAGTGAAACAACTGATACTCCCTGTTCTTTCTCCACACCCTTTTCATTCCCCAGCAGCAGTCACTTCCAGTTATACAGTGGTTTCTTCTGGTAGTTTCTGACACATGCCGACTTACGTGCTTCTGGTAAATTTCTTGGTCCACCTACCTTGGACAGTGTAACTTCTTCATGTGGTAGACATTGGTCTTAATTTCCACAGTCATTTGCATTTGTTATTCAGCAATATTCACTTTAGTTATTTCATTTTCCTTGATATTCTACTTGCCTTTTTTTAATCTTCTCATCTATTTACCACATATACATAGTCTTAAAAATTTTTTTTGTTATGTATACCTCCACACCCCCCACCTATGCCACCATATTGTGTCTTCTTTTTTTTTTTTCGTGGATAGTACACCACTTTATTTTTTTCCTTTTTTTAAAATGTAAGTTTAGTGGTACAATGTAGATATACATAATGACCACATTCATTATAGGGATTTTTTTTTTCCTTGTCTTTTTGAGACAGGCTCTCGCTCTGCAGTTCAGAGCGAGAGTTGTAGCCCAGACTGGCCCAGAACTCACAGTGATCCTCCTGCCTCAGCCTCCTGAGGGCTGGTGTGCACCACCATACCTGGCAATTATGGGGAATTTGTATCTGAACATGATATATCTTAATTCTGCTTATTTCTCCCCCATTCCCATTTTTCTCTAGAGACATTCTTCTAGGGCTCATCTATTATGGACCAGCTATTCTGAAGGCATCCTGCCTAGCAGACATCCCAGAATCTTCTTTACCACTCCTGGGTTGGGTCTACTGTTTCCTGTACTCCATGTCTTCTTTTTCCTGGTATATTCCTTCATTTTTCTTGAGGAAATTCTCAGGCAGTTTTCACATATACCATTAGAAATGTATGCTCTGAGTTTTTTCATGGATACTTGCAACCTATGCGTTCTTCAGCAATCTGATGCTGTCCTGAATCTGATTCTGTAGGCACAGAGTGAAACTGATGAGTGAGGGTCACCAGATCCCACCCTTTGGGGGAGGGGTTCAGATGAAAGGCTGCTCACCTCTGAGGTGTAGTCCACACAGGTACTGAACAAGCCGGTCGGTAGGCTGAGCATGGCAGAGGATATGGATGGTCACCCCATGGGAACTAGAAAACCAGTAGTGTGGACACTGGGAGCCAGCATGGCTTAGCCACAGTATGTGTGAGGATGACATTGGGGTTTGTTTGGCTGCTGGATGGATTTGGGTGATTGTCAAAGAAGTCAGTGGGATTCTAGATCACATTAGTAAAACAAACAACAACAAAATCGTCCTGGCAAGGGAAGTCAGGGGCCTGCTTACCTTTACAAGGAGCAGTTCACACTAGGTGTGTGGTTTTGTTCTGGATGTACATTGTTCATTTGGCAAATTTCTCACCCTTAAAGGCTCACTTCAGTTGTCATTTCACTCTGTAGCTTTCCCTGACACTTCCCTTACCCACATTCATTTATTACTTTTGTTGGTTGTCAGTCTTTATTTACTTACTTAGCATGTTGCTAAAAGATATATCTTGCTTCTCTGTTAAATCAAGTCTCTCAGGGATATTCAGACAAGTCACTTAATCCTTGTGGTTATGAACTTGGAAAAGAAGCAATAATTTTGGCTCCCTTTTTGTCCCTGGGCTTTGTAAATATCAGATGAGTTGTATATTACGGCGCTTTACAAGCAGCAAATGGGAGATGGTGTTACTTCCTGTCCATTTGTTACTCTAATGAATAACAGCCTCAAGTTAGCAAGCCAGTTAAGCAGTCATTGTTCCTAGCATCTGTGTAAGTGTCCCCACCCTGATGTGTCCTGAATTTCTCAGTGGGAGAAGAACGGCTTGTTCTTTGTTTTCCAGCTTTTTTATCACTGGGACATTTCTTTCAGCTTATCTTTTGCCTCTCCTGTCTGAAGTCTGGGCTGTCACTGCTCATGTACAGTAGCCTATCTCATGGCTGCATCCTCTAGGGAGGAACTGGGCAAGGCCTACTCAGTGCAGCCTGGGGCTTCCTGATGCACCAGACAGCCTGGGATTTGCAGACTCAAGTGCTGGGAACTGCACTGCCCCCCTGCTGCAGGACAGTCAGCATTTCTCTACTCTCTGCTGCATGGTGGGGCTGGTGAACACTGGCAGGTGTGCTGGTCCAGGTCTTTGCATGAACTGTTGTGGTCTCAAGACTAAATTTGGTCCTGGATGCTCCAGGCCAGAAGGCCTGCTTTATTTGTACTCCCAGACTTAGCCATTGACTTCCAATTCCAGAAGCTTTAGGCCCTGACTGCTGGACTTGAGGGAACTCCCAGCATTAACCACATGCTATGCCAGAGCCAGCCCTCCTGAGGAAACCTTTCTTTTCAAGCTTTTCCCAAACCTTCTTTTCAAGCCAGGCCTCCCAACTTAGACTGCTTTCCTCAAAGTCATTGTATTTAAGGAGTTTTACTATACTGGGCCTTGACTTGGGACATGCAGGGTGACCACAACATGAGTCCTTACTCTTGAATACCAGGATCTCTACTCTGCCCTCCGTGAAGGCTCCCTGAGCTATACTTTCTAGGTCATCAGCTTCACATACCTTAAAGCTCTCAGTCACCAAGGAGTTTGCTTCTCTAATCGCTGGCTGGGCACCTGCTCATTCTGTGCTGCTTAACTGGGCACCCCTTAAGTGACTACTTTTGTGAGAGAAGGTTGCCTTCCTTTGACTGAACCACCATGCCCAGTGTAAATATAACACAGGATGATGCCAGGGAATTTGGAGGAAATAGCCTAGGTTGGCATCCTGGCTATCCTGGAATGCTATGTGGCATGTCCATGTGAGTTGTGTGCAAGTTTCTGGGGCCTTCTGCCATGGGGGTGTTGAGGGAAGAGAAAGTAACGGCCATTCAGAGAAAGAGGCTTGGTGTAGCTGTGGAGTAACTTTTCAGGTTACCTTGAGGGATTTACTCTCTGAGCTCTTTGTGTTGTAGGGTCTGTGTACAACAAGATCAGTGCTTCATTTTGCTAGGGGTTCTGGCATTATGTAGCACTGTAGGGTAGGTAGCTTCAAGAGTATCCTCAAGTATGACATTCTCTGAAAACGAGACCAAGGCTGTGCAGTTTTCCATCTCTACATGAAACAGCCTTTGAAAATCCTTTGTTGTGTCTACTACACACCATAGACATGCCACTTAGGATGTTTCCTTTTGTTCTTCGTCCACAGTTATTCTCTCCCTCTAGTTTTATTTGGTTTATTTCTTTCCTCTCTCATATTTTGTAATTTCTTCTCCTTCCAGCTTTTGAATCGAAAAGACAAGACCACCTTTGAGAAACTGGACTACCTGATGTCCAAAGAAGATAATTATAAGCGGACTCGGGAATATATCCGAAGCCTGAAGATGGTACCCAGTATTCCCTATCTAGGTAGGAGCCTGAATTTGCTTATTTTTTTGTGTGGGTTTTTCATTTGTTTTTGGAAACATGCTCAATGCCAAATGAGGTACTTTTACAGTTTCTAGCTGAAAATTTTCCAGGAAGCAGCAGGGGTCATGGATACAGAGGTGGTTGGTTGGCTTCTTCGGTTGGAATTGGCTGTTGATATTTTCTAGGGATGGGAACCTTGACGAGGGCAAGAAATGAGCAGTGTTCTGCCTCTTATGTACGTGCTTTGTGGACTCCAGGCTCTAGGCTGCAGGCCAGACAGGTCTCACTTACAGTGGAAAGACTTACTGCTTCATCCACATCCTCCTGAATGGGGGCCTCTCTGTTGTGGTTCTCTGGGGAGTATGAGTGTATTTCATAAGATTTGTACAAACAGAATTTTAGTAATAATTATTAATTTTTATGTTAGAAAATAATGTGTTCCCTGTATAGAATTAGAAGAAAATTAATATTATTCATTATCCCACTTAAAGATACTTTATTCATATCTTATCGTTCATTTGGACATATGCTTACTCTACCTTGAAAACCTAATGTTACTACCCACATTTCTATGCTATTTAAGTTGTTTATATGTTTTATAATGGACATCTTTATTGCAAAAACTTGCAATGGTTATATATGGTTATAAATATTAATTTGCAATAAATTCCTACATGTGTGATTAATGTCAGAATTTATGCAAAAATATATGCCTTTTCATGTACTTTTCCAAAATGCTCTCCAGAGAGGTTAACTTACACATTTATTAGAAGTTGATGAAACTACCTCTGCATGTATAAATGCTGTACATTTTTCTGTCTTTTCTTTTTTTTCCTCCTTTAAAATTTTTAAGTCGTTGCCAACTTAATGTTTGAAAAGTACTTCCTGTAGTTTTGGCTCTGGCATTATGCTAATTTTAGGGAAAAGGGTAAACTAAGGTTTTAATGGCAATGTAAACTAAGCTTTTATAAAGTGCTGCCCGGTATTTTCAGGTATCCAATACAGGTTTTGGGTGATATATCTTTGGCAGCTTTTAAAATATCTTCCATGAGCATTTTTAATTGAAAAGATTTTCTAAGTCTTTTAAAGGTAACCTGGAAATTTTGGGTTTTAATAGGAAACTGTCTATTTGATCCAAGTTTTCAAAATTAACATAGAGTGTGTGTGTGTGTGTGTGTTCATGTATGTATGCGTGCACACAGTACTGGGTATTGAGCCCAGGGCCTTCACACTGAGCTATCTCCCCAACTCTTAAAAAATTTCTTTTAAGATTTTGAGACAGGATCTCAGTAAGTCACTTAAGTTGCTCAGGCTGGGCTCAGATTTGCAGTCCTCCTACCTCTGCCTCCCAGGGTGCTGGGATTATAGCTGTGTGCCACCATGCTCATCTTCCATTTAATTTTTTAACCATACTGTATTACATGGTATTGTCTTACAAATTTGAGCATCTTTGTACATATGGTTATATTTACTTTTGTGCTCCTAATAGTTTATATTTTTGTTTCTTCTTTCCTTTTAAAAAATTGCCTTGCTAGAAGTTTATCTGTTGGTCTTTCCAGAAAATTAGATTTTAGACTTATCTATTGGGCACACTATTTTCTGACTTTAATATGTTGTATTTTATCAATCTACACATTTAACATAGAATGTATCTTTAAACCTTTGACAAAGCATTGTAACATTGCTTCATTGGCACATTATTTCATAGTGACCCATAAAAAAGATATGCCTTTATAAGTATTATATATAATTTTATGCTATGGAAACAATTAAGTCATTAAAATATCCTCCAGTTGCTCCTTTTGTTGCATCCTACATGTTTTGATGTATGATATTCTCAGTGAGTTTTAAAATAGTCTGTCTTTATAGCTTCAGTTTTTCTTTTATTCAAGTACAGTTTTTCTTTATTCAAGTTTTTTAACTTTCAAGGTCTTTGGATATTTTTCTAAGTTTTATTGAAATAGTTACTGTATAATCCATTGCAAGTGTACCATTCAGCTTTTTTTTTTTGTATATTCACAGTTATGCAGCCATTACCACAACCATTTTTAAGCATTTTTATCATTCCAAGAAGAAATCCTTTAACCCCTTCGCAGTCACTCCCACTTCCCTCTAGCCACCCTCCTCCCATCTTCACCTCCTAGCCACCACTAATCTACTTTCTGCCTTCAGAGATTTCCCTATTCTAGGAATTTCATATAAACTGAATCAGGCCTGTTATCTTTCACGACTAGTTTCCTTCTCTTAGCACCATGTTTTCCAAATACATCCATGTCGAGGTAGGATCAGGACGTGATTCTTTCTTCTTGCCAAATGGTAGTCCATTGTATAGAGATACACTGCATTTTATGTATCCATTCATTTGATGGATGTTGAGTTGTATTCACTATTTGGCTATTATAAATAACACCGCTATGAATGGTTTTTTTTAAAAAGTCATGTTTTTACATTGGTTTAGAATACATGACATGTTTTTAAAAATGTTTGAGATTTTTCTTATAGCTTAATATATAATGAGTTTTTATAAATGTTTCATGGGTCCTGGAAATGAAGATGTAATTTCTCAAATTATTCTTAGAATTGTTTATGATATTCAAATTACTAATTTTTGGCAACTTGGTCTATCAAGAACAGAAATAGCTGTTAGAGTCTCTATGCATCTTTAGTAGTTTCTGCCTTATGCATTTGGTATATAGGAATTTATAACAGTTTTCTGTTATAACAGACGAAAGAGAGAGACAGAGAGAGAAGCGTGGCAGCTCCACAACTTCATTGTGAAGTGTCCCATACACTTCACAGCTCCACAACTTCATTGTGAAGTGTCCCATACAAAAACTTGATTCCAAAAGCCAGACATGTGGTGCATGCCTGTAATCCTGGCACTTAAGAGGCTGGGGCAGAAAGATTGCCCTGAGTTCAAGGCCAGCTTGGGCCACACAGTGAATTCAAAGCCAGCCTGAACTACATAGTAAGACCCTACCTTAAAAAACAAAAACTCTTGGTTCCAGTTTGTGACTTGCTTTTACTTCCTTAATACAAATTGTGTGACACCTATTTTATTTTTCATTTGCATTTGTTTTATAAACCTTTGACTGCATTTTAGATTTTAATAGTCTACATTTCCTTGTTTAGGCATGACCCTTGCAAATAGAATTCAGTTGAACTCAATCATAAGAGACTTTGCCTTTTTGTAGAGGATGTAATTCTTACAGTTGTTTAGTCTTACGCTATGTAACTGAATTGAATTTCATTCTGCACTTTCTTTTTTCATGCTTTCCTTGTTCTCTTCTTTCAGCTTGCCATAAAACATAGTATCTTTCTCCTTAGTGGCTGGCAGATCCCTATCTCAGGTCTGCAGCAGAAGGGCATGTTGATGTGCACAGCTCCCAAGTCCATTCCTACTCTGTGTGAGGCTATCAAGCAAGAGATGGAATTTATGATATGAGAGTGAGAGTAGCCTGGGCCCACCACTGGTTCAACTCATGGTAGTGCTCCAGGATGGTCGAGGAGGCCTCTTTTCTCTAATAGGAATGATCCTGAGAGCTGCCATGTGTTGTCTGTTCCCCCCTCCACTCACACTCTCTCTCTCGTTCTCTCCGTCCCAATCTCTGTCTCTTTCTCTTTCTGTCTTTCTGTCTCTCTCTGTCTCTCTGTCTCTGTCTCTCTCTGTCTCTCTCTGTCTCTCTCTCTCTCTCTTTCTCTCTGTCTTGCACGGATAGGTATTTGAATGCATTATCTCACTGAAGGTTCACAATAGCCCAGGCACTGACAGGATTGCCTAGGGTCACATTAACTGGAAAGTGGCAGACCCAGGACTAGACCCAGATGGTCTGGCTATAAGCCCTAAGCTCTTGACACTACCCTCTCCTGACTTCCTGTCTCTACTGTTCAGGTCATTACTTTCCCACCCTGGCCTACCACCTGTGTTTCCTATGCCATTTGTGACTGTATTGGCACTGGCACAATGTGAGATTGATGAATGTCTCCCCTCTTTTTTGTGATGCAGAGCTGTCTTGGGCACCCAAGGTCACTGGTTAGCCTGCACCAGCCTTTGGACCCCTTGTCCTTCACAGGGTCTGGACAGATGCAACCCTCCTTGTTCTGACCACCTCATTTCAACCACCTCTTCCTGGCAGGTGCTTCCCATTATCCTCTAGAGGCCCCATTTTCCCACATGGCCTTCCTTCCCAGGGAGCTGCTGCATTTCTGTCCCTTCAGCCTTGTGATGATTCTCCTTTCTCCTCAAGAGAAAGTCCAGTTGGACTGCCTTTATGCTGGTGGCCCTGAATGACCCTGATGTGTACAACTGGGGGAGAGCTGGAGGTGCTGACTCTCACTGCTCACTGTTCCAGGGCAGTATGTGAGGTTTTACTGCCGGAGCTCTGCAATTTGCATTCACAGTTGTGAAGCAGGATCTCCCTTTGGAGTTAGTGGGACCGTCTCTGGGAGGAGGGGGCTCGGGCTCCACATGCCCCTCCAATTGCCACAGACAGAACTGTCCAAACCCAGGCTGTGGATTTAATGCTGTATTCCTCCTGAAAACCCAACCTGTCCCTGGGATAGATTTGTTTATCTAAAGAGGAATAGTTACATAATTCCTGGAAAGTACAATATAGGAAAAAATGTCTGAAACCATTTGTTTTTCCCCTGGCAGAGTCTCCATATGGGTCCTTCCTTGGTAAGAGTGGGAGGAGCGTTAGGTCCCTGGTATTTCAAGCTGCTTTGACGGTTCCACAGCTCGAGACTATGCGTGCTGCTTGGGCTGTTGTTTACCTCTAATAGCAAATGTGGCTTTTATTTTTGTAACAATTCTCTTATTCCTTTGTGGAAGGTTTTGTGCTAACTGGGTTCCTGTCTCTCCTCCACGTAAAGATGCCCTGGCTTTGGAATGCTAGCTGTTGTCCCTAACCAGCATGTGGGTGTGTATTCCGACTCCTTCGATGCAGATTTTAGAGCCAGTTGGCTGAACGTTGCTGTCCTGAGATCTTTGTGAAACATAA